CTTTATTATAAATAGGAATTGCAAGAGGGTTGAAAGGAGATTCACACGACTTCTGAAAGGAAGAAAAAGGAAAAGGAAGCTTTTGGTCCCTAGTAAGGGTTTTAGGAAGGAAACCCTGGTTTCCTTCAATTGGCGTTTGTTCTTTGCTTGGAATTTGTTTAATTTTATGTTTCTTCATTAAATCCCTACATCAATTAGTATATGTTCATGGAGGTGTGATTTGGTTCATGTAGAAGGCTCTAAAAGGGCAAGGAGATGGCTCAAAGGCCATGGATATAAGTAGTGAGAAAAAATATGGTGACTTTTGGTCTTACTGAGGGTGTTGCTCTTGATAGAGAAGAATGGAGAAAAATGATTCATGTAACGGACCTCAAATAATTGGGATAAAGCTTGGATGATGATGAATTAGTGTTTATTCATAAAATAATTATTTGTCATCCAATCAAGCCCTTAAATCAAAGGGGTAATTGTTAATGCATTGTGCATGATTAGATGGGATGAGGGTTTGGCGTGGTAACATTGATTATAGGTGGTCTTTTTACTTTTTTCTTAGGGTATCTCTTTCAATAAGATCAGTGTTTTAAAGCAAGGACTTGGGTTGGAAGTGGCTGGTATCCTGAACTTTAGTCAAGAAACTCGACTTGGCCAAGTCTTAAAAAATTGAACTGTAGAACGTTGGGAGCCAGCGAAACATGGTTGATTCCCAAGGTTTTTCTTCAAGACTTGGCAGCCTGCTGAGTCCGAATTTGATCACTGCAATAAAATAGCTCCAACATGCTTCGTGTTTTGTGTTTCGTTAGCCTGTAATACTCAAAATTGTTAGTGGCCTTTGGTGGGTCCTCTTTCCTTGAAAGTGCTAGGCAGGAAACCAGGGATTCCAGTTTTGATTAATTTACAAACTTTAGAGAAAAAACCCTTACTTTTTCCATTATAGTTTTTTTATAACATGAAAATTGATGCATTTGTTTAAAGCGGTGTTCTAAAACTAGGACACCCCCCCCCCCCACAAAAAAACAAAAATTCTTTTCCCCTCCCTGCCCTGAAGGGTTTGGTGTATCTAACTATTCTCAAGAGTCGAACCAATTTCAGACCATGCCATGGAAGGTTAGAGCTGTCAAATGATTTGCGTACAAAGCAATATTGCAATAAAGGACGACTGCGATTTTGCCATAGCATCCATGCACTTGTTGTCCCTAAGCACGTCGTTTATCAGTATTCAGTAACTGTGAATCTTATCATTTCCACAATGGCCACGTGAGCCACAAGATCCTTTTATTAGTCATCCAAAATCCTTGTCCATATTGACTCAGCGGACTTTGCCATGCTTTATATAGCTCGCGCCACATTTGAGATCCTTTCATCTTTATTCAACACCATGGATGTCAAAGTATATTGAGGAACATCCCCAAGAAAAATATGCTGCCACATGTTTATAAGTAATATTTTGAAAGTTGAATGGGTTAAGGCTAACGGCCGAAGTTGTCCATGTCTCTAGAAGAATTAATTTTATTTCTTCAACAGATTGAGGATTACAATGAAGAGAGAAGTTGGGCCATTTGTATCAGGATCATGGTATTAGTATAATGATTGTGGATTAGAATAAAGAGAGAATTAGAGCATAACCATCATATTAGTATCATCATATTAATATAGACAGGAACAAGCTCCTTTGAACTTTTGGACTTTATGTTTATCATTTAATATTCGATATCTTAGGTCGGTAATCCAGGAAAATGGAGAGATCAAGGAAGATGTCGCACATAAAATTAGAGCTGGGTGGACAAAGTGGAGATGTTCAACCTGAGTTTTATGTGATCGCCGTATACCAATGAAGCTGAAGAATAAGTTCTATAGGACAACTACGAGACCCATTTTACTTTTTGGGGTGGAATGCTGGGTGGTCAAGAAACAACATACCCATAGAATGAGTGTAGCTGAGATGAGATTGTTGAGTGGCAAGACAAGAAGAGATAGAATTCGAAATGAATACTTTCGGGAGAATTAGGTGTTGCACCAATTGGTGACAAGATGGGAGAATGTAGACATAGGTGGGCTGGCCATGTGTGGCATAGATCCAGTACAACACCTGTTAGGAGGTATGAGTTAGTTCAAGTGGAAGGCTCAAAAAAGGCAAGGGGTAGGCCCAAAAGGACATGGTTGGAAGTAGTGGAAAAAGATATGGGGACTTATGGTCTCACCGAGAGTATGGCCCTTAATAGAGCAAAATGACAAACCATGATTCATGTAGCCGATCCAATTAGTTGAAAAAACGCTTTGATGATGATGATGATGATGTTCATCATTTAATAAAATAAATCCCAAATACAAGTCCAGATTTTTTGTTTTGTTTCGATCGCTTGCCCCTTGTCTAGATTTAATCAATGGTTGGGCTGCTATGGCCTCTAGCAACAACTTTCGGGTCTCTTATTTAAACTCCCAATACTTTTGTACCTCTTATTTAGTTTCATTAGCCTGCAAAATAAATACGAAAAAAATGGGCAGCTGTTAGGGGCTTATGATAATATATTTGAAAGTTAATTTCTCATAATTTGAGAACTGTTTGTGGGAAAGAATGACTTAATCCATCTTTTTAGGAGGGACTGACCATGGTTGTAGCCCCTTCATAATGCTCTTGGAGATGGATCGAGTACCCAGGCTCTGCATGGTCATCTTTAGGACCTCGATGGTTGACCTCAATGACCAATATGACCGTACATGATACAAAAAAACGATTAGTACCCCTCAAAATGATCCTATTTTTTGAAGCTTGAATTCGACAGTCCGGTGAAATGGATTGGCATAGTAGGAGTTTTTCTTAGCCTAAATCCCTCATATATCCTTTGATTCCAAATTTCATTATTCAAAATCCCAATTCACATGCTAGGGAAACCCAGATTAACCTCGATTCTGTACCAGGGGAGCCCTGGTTAAGGGCACTCAAGGATGTACATTCCAAATACTAGGGACCCTGGGTCACTTGAGGACCTTAATTCCAATGCTAGGGGAGGCCTATTTAAGGGCACTTCAGGACCTTGAATCCAATACTAGGGAACCCTGGTTTTAAAGGCACTTGAGGTCCTCGAGTTCATTACCAGGGGAGCTCTGGGTAAGGCCACTTGCGGATCTTTGCCTTTCAGGTAGAGCTCAGCCCTGAAAGATTTATCTTGTGATCCCAACAAGTTGGGAATGAGATTCCTAAGATTGTGATTGTAATCCCTGAATTATATGTTGGACGGTCTGTGCTCCCTACCATATGGATTTTCTAGTCTTTCACTATCCCATGCTAACACTACCTCTCCTGGAACTGCCTCAACAACCATGACTGTCGTGGGGAAATTGAGGTCTACACTTAAAAAAAAACCACACATCTTATGTACAGTCTTAAACAGGAAAGTTCTTTATATCATTATCTGCATAAGACTTATTCTGACTTTTTGCTACTCTCAATTGGTATAACAATGATTTATTCAATATTATTGTATCATTATGATTACTTATTCAATATCAGGTTTCCAATTTTACTGGAAAGCATAAGTTAAACTCATTTTTAATGTTCAAAGCATTTAGAAAGAATATAACTTAATTTTATCACATTTTGAGGCAAATTACTGATAGAAGCTACAATGAGTAGTGCACTATAAAGTACAAACTATAGTTTCTTTTATTGAAAATTTAGCAAATCAAAATTTAACAAATCAACATCTCATAATTAATAGAATGTCCTCTATAAGACTACAACAGCAGACTTTACATTCAAACTCTGAAATACTAACTGTAGTCCATCGATCAACAATATCTACAGTAAGTGTGTTATTTCTCTTGGGCATTCACATCTAAATTTACAGATCAATTTACCCAAAATTACACTTGTCCCTACAACTTCAAACAAGGATTTCAAGCTTACCTCAGCCACATTACTCAGCCTTGTCCGAGTGGGCGCCAAATTATTATTTTTTCATTTGTAAAAGAACAGTTACAAATATCAAAAAATTAAAAGAGGTAAAATACATCATTAGAAGAAAGATGAAAAAACTTTATAATATCAAAAAATTAAAATAGGTAAAAGAAATTATTAGAAGAAAGATGAAGAAACTTTATAATATCAAAAAATTAAAAGAGGTAAAAGAAATCATTAGAAGAAAGATGAAAAAACTTTATAAAAGATGGTTCATTGAAACATTTGATTTAGACCTTGAATATTTCAAAAAGTTTAAAAAGGAAAAAAACTTTGAAATTTCCTTGAATATTTCAAAAAGTTTAAAAAGGCAAAAAACTATGAAAGTTCCTATACCATCTTAACAGTATCAAAATCATCCAAAAACCTGATTTCGTGCTTTCCAATTTTTTGCATTTTTAATATTTTGTCTTCTTTTTTTTTGCGGGTCTGTGAGTTGCCTTGGAACTCGCTACAACTTAGCCTCCACCTTAAGCTGTGGCCGAGTTACTTGGCCAAGTCCAAGTGGACTCGGCCGATTTCTGCTCTACTGATTTCAAAATTCGATTCTTTTATCCTTGTATATGCCAAACATTGAGTACATGTTCCTACACGGACACAATTGCTAGTTTCCATTTGAAGTGCCTCCCTTACTGGTAGTGTTTATCCACATTGCCTACAGTCAGGTGCCTATGTGCCCAGACAGGCGATTTTGAATACCATGAGTAGAAATTACTTGAGTATTGAATGAGTTAAATATGGTAAGCATAGATCAATGTCATGCGTGTTAACTAGAAATTTGTTCTTGATAATTGGTGACCTGAATGAGACCCTTCTTTTTCCTTTGAACCTCAGGAATAGGGTCTACTGTAATTTTGATTAATGAAACATGTGTTGTTAGTACCTGATATTTCTAAACATTTATTAGGAGTGCTGCACTGAATTGATTATAGTATTGCTAGTTCCAGTGCTATTAGTTTTTTCAATACTTTTTGGCTTATCTGTGTATTGGGTTTTCTAGAGTATGAAGTTGTGGGATAATAAAAAACCTTGTTTTCTCTGTCAGGTATCTTCAATGCAAGCTTGAAGAACATGATAAAAACAGGTTCCATTTTTTTAATAGTTTTTTCTTCCGAAAGCTAGCAGATCTGGACAAGAATCCTGGTTGTGCTTTTGAAAGCAAGGCAGCTTTTCAGCGCGTTAGGAAGTGGACACGCAAAGTAAACATGTTCAAAAAGGATTACATTTTCATACCAGTAAATTTCAAGTATGACTTATCATTCCTTTTAGTAAATAACAAATAAAATAACCATCTTCCTTCCACTCTTTGATGATAATTCTTCATAATTGAAGCCGTTCGTCGCTCTATCTTGAAATGCAGCTATCATTGGAGTTTGATGGTTATCTGTCATCCTGGCGAAGTAGTTAAATCAGAAGGCAAGTTTCCACAAAATCATTTTATATAATATTTTGTTTCCCGCTTGTTCAAGGGAGTTAAGGTTTATATGTTGCCTTTTAGATGACAACGATCACAAAGTTCCTTGCGTTTTGCATCTGGATTCAATCAAAGGAAGCCATAAAGACCTCAAGGATCTTGTTCAGGGGTAATATATGCTTTTCCTTGACTGAAGTTTGATAGCCAAGTCCGAAAAACGTGGTTAGATTTCCTGTCTGGATCTCTTAGTAGACACATTGATAATGGCTCTAGCTTTAGTGGGTTTTATCTTCTTCAAAATCCTTAGTGTTGTTGCCATTTGGTGCCCTTCTTTTGATTCATCATCAGCATCACTTTTAATAGTAATTATTCCTTGATGAAAAAAAATACAAATTTTTTTTTTTGATGCTGTAATGAATTTTAATGTTTGGTACTGGATTCTCATTCCTGATATGCTATCAAATTAATGTATTAGTAGCATAGTACTGGTTTTCAAGTAATACAGGTCAATTTTCCTAGTAAACAGTGTAGGAAAAATCGAGTGGTTCAAACCGGAACCGCCCAGTTTCGGTCAGTTTTAGTGAACCGGCAGGGTATTTTAAAAAATTAAAAAAAATATATAAAATCCCAAAAAATAAGAGATTTTGTTATAATGCATTTTTTTAATGTTTTTCATCATTTTGGCAAAGATTGGAAATTGTTTTGGCCAATAATACTTATTTTTTATTTTTCTCATCTTTTTTTGAAAATTAAAAAAATAGCCCTAAGTGCAAGTCGATTCTTTGAAATCCATTTTTTTCATTATTTTTCAACTTCAGTTAGATGTGCTTTGTTTAATCGTGCTTTAAATATACTTTTCATATTTTATTAGATTTTGTTTTGAATTTTTTTTTAACACTTTTTTGACCACCCGGGACTTGGCTGGTTGAACCTGCCAGTCTACCGGTTAGTACCGAGTAACCGCTTCTTGCCCCATACCCGGTTAACCGCTCCGGATCAATTTTTTCTACATTGCTGGTAAAGAAAGGCTGATTGTGTTGCACGCATTGTAGGCATTGGTACCTGTCTAGTGCTCTATTTGTCTTATTGGAATCTTTTTGAAGCATTTTTTTTTTACTGAAGAATGAGGAATGAGCATCAAAATATTTGCAATGTGAATGAACAGCATAGAATTTGAGAAAGGCAGTTATGGATTCCATTAAACTTAAGTGAGTTGCATGAATATTGAAGATGTCTTTTTTAGTAACAAATCCTGACTGAAAAGAGTGGACTGAGAAAAGAGTGCACATCATATATTCTTTCTCCTGTCAAGTGGATTCGTTTTGCTTATATGCTGTACATGTGCTATTTCTCTCCCCCACCCTCTCTCTCTCTCTTGATAATTTTATATGTGTGTTGTTTTCAAGTAAAGTGTCAAGTGGGGTTTTCTTGAAGGTGTATTGTATTAATGTATGAGAAGTGTGAGAAGTGCATACAACCTTGAAACTGATAATTGAATTATCACATTTCTTGTCATTATATTTTTGAAATTGCAGTTATCTTTGGGAGGAATGGAAGGAAAGGCACGCAGAAGAAAAGGAATCATGTGAGAATGCATTAGTGAATTTTTCAAACATGCGATTTATACCTCTTGAGGTATATTTATCCCTTTATAATTTGGCTACTACTTTTATATTGCATCTGTAGTTTATGTTCTTGATTGTATATCGTTAATCTAGAAGAGTTCTTTGGTTAAGTCTGGGCGTCGGAGTTCCTCGTATTAAAATCGTTGCGAGGAGCGTGGTTTCCCATTTCGATCTGCACAATAGAGTAAAAGGGGTGGAGGTTTCTTTCGAAGTCATTTACAAAAGGAGTCTTAAAACTGAAGTTTTGAATGTTTGCTTTACATCAAGAGGTGTAGACAAAACCATGCCTTGTTGGCCACTGTAGGAATTTTAGGAATAATGCGTTGCAAAGAATTATGTACCCTTCACAAATGCAGCCTAAATGTCCAAAGTCTTAACAAGTGGACATAATAAGAGATTCAGGTAATGAACAAAGATAATAATGTATGTGAAAACTCAAGGTACGCAATTCGCAGTCTGCCAAAAGCAAAAACTCTGAACAAAAAAATTGTAGTGGCTTATGGAAATCTCCCATTAAGAATTGATGGGAATTCATTGTGAACTCTTGTGAATTAAGCCATCGAATCATTTGAAACATGACAATCATAATCCTTAGTGAGAATACATGCTAAATTAGGGAATACAAAAAGAACCCTTTTCTTTTTCAACTCCCAGTCTCCAATGAAGATGGCATGAGTGCCTATTTTATGATGATGATGAATTTCTTGTTCTGGAATGAATCAGGGCCCCCTCACTTTTGAATTGAATGGAGGCCACAAGTGTTAAGGACTGTGAACAATCTTTTTCTTTTCTCAATATCACGAATAAAATCGCATGAACGATTTTATGGAAATCTCCCATTAAGAATTGATGGGACTTCATTGTGAACTCTTGTGAATTAAGCCATCGAATCATTTGAAACATGACAATCATAATCCTTAATGAGACTATACATACTAAATTAGGGGATACGAAAAGAACCCTTTTCTTTTTCAACTCCAAGCCTCCGATGAAGATGGCATGAGTGCCTATTTTATGATGATGAATTTGTTGTTCTGGAATGAATCAGGCCCCCCTCACTTTTGAATTGAATGGAGATCACAAGTGTTAAGGACTGTGAATAATCTTTTTCTTTTCTCAATATCACGAATAAAATCACATGAACGACTGCAAGAACCCAAGCTTGAAACTCTCCTAATACTCCTGGACAATGCTATAAATATATCTAACCTTAGCATGAGAAAAGATCGCTTAAAATGGTCGGATTGCTTGTGGAAAACCATCCTAAATTCAGGTGTTATCTACATATCACTGCTAGTGTTCTTGCAATCAGTGTGAGATTGACATGAAGACCAAGGTCTTGGTGGAGAGCAGAAACTCACACTATCTTGTTCAAAGTCTCAGTAAATTTGAGCTCTCAATTAATCATTTCAAAAATGCGAATCGTGAATATTGCATTGAGTTTTTTTTTACCCGTAATTCCGTAGAAGGTTCTGATTGCTCATGGAGAAGCTTATTAGATTCAGATGTGAACTATATATTCCCAGTGTTCGCACGATACTGGACACTCTGAAAGGTGAGATGAAAAACAGTGTGTTGAAAGAAACAGATCAATCTTGTTCAAGTTGCTGCATGATATATTATTGATCCAAAGAAATTGCTGCTTCTTACATTCTGTGTCCCCACTGGATCTGGAAACTGTATTTTGCCTTGTGCTGAACCTATTCTTGGCTGTTATGTTAGAGTATGTTGATATATGACAATAATGGTGAAAGCTGTGGCAAATATGTGAGCCAAAAAAATATGGTTTTGGCAAATGTGTGTCCTCATATTTAGATTGCTTGATTTAATGAATATTCCATATCTGTTTAATGGAAATATCAGTCTAAAAACCCCTAAAACACTGAGGATAGGCATTATCATCTTCACCATAAGAGATAGGGTCTACTCATAGTTTGGTCTATGCTCGTTTCAACATTTTCTTGTGTCTGGCATTGCATTTTATTGTTCAAACATTTAGCAATTTCTGAGTAAATTTTTCTCGCCCTCCAACCCATGGTTTTCTGATGAGCAGCTGCCTTCAAAATTTAGTTGTAAGTAGGCCTTTTAGCCGCTTTATGCACTGGGCATAAGGTATAAAAGGGCATGTGGGTGCCATGACTGAGACTGGGTTGGTACTCTTATGGTGATTCTTGGAGGAAGTCATGGATTAGCTTGGGTCCTTTCTCATAAGAAAAGGTTTGCAAGAGATGAAGAGGTATGTGCAACTTGGGTAAGTTCATAGGTTGCATTTAGGTGTCAGTATGTGTCAGACCTCAAACCTGTACAACATATTTCATCCCTATTCCCTAGGCAAAGTTGAAAAATTCGACCTCCTAGGCGGGTCAAATAGGCGCCGTGCGTCTAGGTGCCTGCCTAGGCTCTTGCCTTAAGGTGGGCGCCTGAGCGACATCTCTTAGGCAGGGAGGCCAAGGGCCGAAAAATGCCCTTGGATGATTGCATTTGACGATTTCCCCCCCTAAAAAGGGGGGTAAAAAGGGTTCAGGAGGGTATTCGAGTCCCCCCAAAACCCCTCTTGTGCATCCTAGAGAGAGAAAAATCTAAAAAGTCTTGTGATTTGAAATTTTTGGAAAGATTGAAAAAATTAATACTTTTCCAATTTTCTTGCAAAAACAAAAGTTATACTTTGAGATAGTTTTTGGAGCTTGGAGTGGTCGCATAAGAGGACTTTTGGTGACCAAAGATCACCGATTTGAATTAGGCGTTGGTATTTTTTGGTATAATGTATCATAATTTGAACCATTTGATATTCTTTTAATTTTTTTTTTCTTTTATGATATCTTTACTTGTTTGTAGTTGAAAGCTTGAAATGTTTGAAATGTTTTGTGAATATTTCCTGGTTTGGACCTATATTGAATTCGTATTGAAAAGCTTAGTGCAATACAAAATTTGAATTTAGGATTTGATATATATATATATATATATATATTATTATTCATTATTATTATTATTATTATTATTATTATTATTATTATTATTATTATTTTTGTATAATATGTCATGATTTGATATCCTGTTGTTTTTTGTTTTTTTTTTTCATATTTTTACATGTTTGTAGATAGATTATTTTGTGAATTTACCAGTATGGGCTTTGGGGGTGCTAAAACTGCCCTAAGAACTCCCTAAGGGCCTAAACCCCGGCCTTTTTTGTTATTGTGTTGGGGGGGGGGTGTTGGTTAACCTGTCTGGGCTCCTGCCTAGGCTGCATGGCCTCATCCATTTTTTTGAACATTGTCCCTAGGGTTTCATTTAGTCTGTGAAGGCAGCTGTGGGTTCAAGAGGTGGACATGTTGCTCATGGGGGCATGGGTTTCAAGAAGAATGATCTGTAGCCACATGTTTTTTTTTGTCGAGGAGTTTGTCAAGTTTGAGTTCCCAAGTTAAACCTTTTCTCAAAAAAAAAAAAGTTTTGAGTTGCCTGCCTCTCAATCGTATGCTCATTTTCATGGTTCAATTCAATATGGACAACTGGGCTACTGACGCATGTGCACTATAGGATCTTTAATGACCTCTCCAATGGGATTTGATTAGTGATGATGTGTTGTGCAGAATGGAGGGTGATCACAAATCTAGGTTGACTAGGTCCTGAATCCATGCCATTGGGATTTGTTTTTTTTAAATCCAGTAATCTGCTATATGGGTTCCATTTACCCTGAGGATGCTCCTATTCATTGGGGTTGGTGCGACATCTTGTTATATTGAGCATTTAAATGCGAGTTCAGATACTTGAACTCTACTGGACGTCGATGCTCCTCAGACACACAATAGATGGGGGCAATAATTTACATACACTCCGTAGTCTGAGTAGCAGGCTCTCCATTTATCATATTACTAAACAAAAGAGCTCATGAAATTTGAATGAATGAGAAATATTAAGCCAAGAATTGTGGTAATAAGTAATGAAGAAATAGACTAAAAATATTTGTCATGATATATTTGTTATTCCCATCTGTGTTTTGTTTGATGCCTATCTGTGTATTGTGTAGCTTAGTGTTCTACCTGGTGATTTTTGTGTTGATTTTAATCCTTTCTTTGTCCCTCTCGTGCACTGTAAAACTGCTTTTCAGTTATGTCAGTTGACTCAGTTCTTTTCTGCCATCAGCATTATGCACACAAGAATGACATTCTTTGCGATGAGCATTAATATCGCTTGTATTTCCTTCCGTTCTCTTAAAATTCATTTTTCAGTATCAAAATTGGTTACCTTTTCTCTGTTTCTGGAGAAACATGTATCATGTCATTTATTCTGATTTCTCCTTTTACATCCAGCTACCTCAGCAGGAAAATTCATTTGATTGTGGTCTCTTCTTGCTGCATTATGTGGAATTATTTCTTAGGGATGTGCCAACGAATTTCAGTCCCTTCAAGATAACTAAATATTCCAATTTTGTAAGTATAGTCTCTTTATAGAAGACATTTTCATAAAAATAATGTTCATAATATCTTGATATATGATTATTTGTTTTCTTCTGTGCAGTGGCAGATGTATTTTTTAATTTAAATTTGTTATTTATTATGATCCATTGAACTTTGAGTTGCTGTGAATTAAATTCACATTTACATCCATAATTTTATATATCTGTTAGGCTTTCTGATATATCAGATATCCATCAAGTGAAGCCTCTAAATTAAGTGATGAATTTTGAGACAGACACCATTTCTTCTTGAAATATATGCATAATTCCTTCGCTTTTAATACAATAAAAAATTCTGAATTAGCACAGGTTCCCAGAGCCTGATGCATTGCTGTTTGGAAAAAGAAATTGGTCGAAAGCATTTTTATTGCTAGATATGAGAATTCATTGGTGTCAATTAAATCAAATGTTTGTTTTTTACATTTCGCGGTGATACCTGTTTGGTTGTAAAACGTGCAACTATACATAGGCCTTTTACTTCTGATCGTCTATCAGAATTCAGAAACAAAAAAGCCTTGATGAAATTTGTCACATACATCATGTAATGGATATGAGCTTTTTTGCTTGTTTTCTTTTTAATTGGTGAATGTGGAGTTGAATACATCAACTAGGATGTTGCATGTAAACATGTAAATCAGCAGTTTATTTCTTCCGTGTGTTTTTTTATGTGCTTAAAGATCATGTTTCCTTGGCATGCTTTTACTCCTCAAAATTTAGACATCACATGATTTATACCTGCAAAGTGCTAATGACATTCTAGCCACAAAGTTTTTCAAAATCATCTTTTCAAATTATATCATTGTATTAGCTTGTGCATTCACATTAAGAGCTCTGGGGGGACGAATTTTGCTGACCCTATTCACAAACCAAAGCAGTCTGACTCGGACTCACTGAGTTACTCAGGCTCGACAACCTACAGAGCCCAGAACCCCTTTCAAACTCATCCTGAGAGTACTGTAGCGGTACTTGCCCTAGTTGCTAGTAATGCCTGAGTTAATATAGCTACCAACGAAAATATCTCTGAACAAGGTTCTAGCACCATGCCAAATGTGTCAGAAAAAGGAGCAGAGCAAATGAAGTATGTCCAAAAGTGAGCACCCCTTGGATTGCTACCAAAAACATCATCGGATTTCAAAGTATCTCGATTTAATTGAGAAATATTGGGCAAGTCTAGCATATTTATACACAGTAGCAGGATCGCTATAACTTACTCCATCAGGCTCATACTATAGCATCTCAACAATTTTCTCTCAGACTCAGTGAGTCCACAGAAATTTGCCGAGCTGAACATTTTTAGAGAGGAAAAGGAAAAAAAGGAAATGTGCGGGGGGAGGGAGGGAGAGGGTGGAAATCTGACGTCGCTTTCTATCTTTTCACTGGTTTGAGCTCCGATTGCACTCAAACTTCACCCTAGGCATATTTTTACCTCCATTAGGGAATCAAAACATCAGATTTGGAAAAAAAAGGAGGAGAATCAGATTCAAACTGGGATTTGGCCAAAGTTGATTTCTTTCTGAACTTTTGCAACCCTAGCTCGATCCACTTTATAAATTATAGGTCATTAAATATTACCTTGGTTATCATATAGTATCATTAAATATGTGCCGATTAAATTATGTTTTCATCATTCTTCATTTTTTATGTAGTTCATCTTTATTTTGTATATTTTGTATTTTTTTTTATTGTTCCTATTCTTTAGTTTGATTTAACTTTGCCTATTTTTTGGGATCTTTTTGTGGTGAAATATCCTGATTTGGTCAGGACACAGAGAGCCTACTTAATACTCACTCCGGGCACCTATTGAGTCCTAGAGCGAGTTGGGGTTTTAAAACACCGAGCCAAATACTTGAAAGGTTGTTATAGGTACAAAGGTGAAGTTTTCTTAGAAGTACTTGAAAGTTGGAACTGGAAATTATACATTGCCTACTGGGCTTTTGGGCTTCAGGGGCTTTTAGGTAGTGTCTGGCGGACTCTTTGGATTTATTAGACATTCAATTTGTAAATACTTTTGCCCTCTTCATTTTGATGGCGCTGTTTGGAGCATTTCTGCTTTGATTGTGTCGTGCATTAGCTGTAGTTTCAAATGAATGATACTGGACATCTTTCATATTTCCCTGGAATTTGAGAGTTGTTATTATCTAGGTGCATCTTGGTTACCCTATAGGATTATATGTACGACGTTTTTCTTGGATCAACTTATGGAATAAGGCGGTTGATACACCTATTTTTGCTGCATTTTAATCATTCAACTCCTGATGGAAAACTTATTCTAGAAATTTAGTGGGTGGAGTTTATGTATTTTGACTAATTATATGCCATCATTTATCAGATGTTCTACAGTTGGTCAATCTCTGCAGTAACTCCAGACAGATAATTCATGTCCTATTGTATTAGTTAGGTCTTTATCATGGAATCCTTATGTTTCTTCATTCGATCTTCCATTTGTGGCTTTTGTCAGCTCTTATTGCACGAGATACCCAAATATTAGATGATCTTCCATTATTTGTTGAATGTTTTTGGGAGAATGTAGTGCTCCTTGAAAAAAAAAACATGCCATATTTTGTTCTTGTCAAGTGCAAAGTCAGTATGATTAGATATAGTTGCATTGCTGAGTGAATTTGTAGTCGTGATCCTGTTATGTACCACATTTTGGTGGATATGATTTTAGTGTCACCTCACCTCTGTCCTTTTATTTCATCTTTCATGGCTGTGCTTTTTTGATGACGGTGATTACCTGATGGCATTATCTTTGAAAAAGGGTGAATTTTAGATTTGTCTCACTAAGTCCTTAGATTAGAGATATGCATAATCAGTTACTGATGAAAAAGTGGCTGATTTAGATTTGTTTCACGAAGTCCTTAGATTAGAGACATGAATGATGACTTAGTTAACAAACTGCTACTTTGTTTTCTTCATACTCCAGTTTAAGGGGAGGTATTTGAGATATGCAAGTACATTTGTTAATATATCCTCTATTTGTGTAATCAATTGTAGTTTGGCTTTTCATCCATAAGGTAATTTGATCATGTTGCATGTTGATTAGCTTAATGATATTTGTTGTTTTGCTCAAACTGATGATAAGTTTAGCCACATGCAACTCACAGATTCATCGTTTATATTCCTCATGCCCATGTTTTCTATTTGTGGCTGAATGAAATTTAGTCATGGAATTCCTTATCAATGTACTTTTACATCAACTGCTTAAAATGGGCATAGCTTTCGTTATATGTGGTCTTAATATGGTAACTATTTATTTATTTTCCTTTTTAGGCATTTTCCTTTTGCTGCCATGTAAGTTGGTTGTAACAAAAGGATTGGTTGAAAATACCATACTGGTTCTTCTTTTCAGCTTACAAAGGATTGGTTTCCTCCTGTCGAAGCTTTCTCGAAGCGCTTTCATCTGCAGAAGCTAATCTATGATCTCCATGATGACCATATTCGAACTATTCCTCCTTCACACAGCTCTTCAGATGATGAGTCCACTGGAATCGGGGATACTGAAGTTGGAGACCAGATTATTGATTTTGTAACCGAGGAATGTGCTGGAGCTAATCTGTGCCTTGGCAATTCTTTTCACTCCACAGTTGAAGCAAATGAATCAAGCAATAGCAACTTACTGATAAGTTTGCCCGTGCATGATGGTGTTGTTGGAGATGAGGCATGCCTCCATGACAACGCTGGTGGGACAATATGTGCTGACTTTCTCATGCATGATGCTCCTTGTGCTACATCCCCTGATGGGCAAACTCGACCCTTCCAGGATGCCTCATCTCCGCCCCTGCTTGATTGTGCTCTCAATCGTCTCAAGGTAAGTATTATAATCTTTAATCACGAAACTCTGATGCTGCATTTGGTTTCAAAACCTTCTATTGAATCATCAAAACTACCCCGCTTTCCAGAGTGCATAGTGGTTCTCTCTTTTTATTTTTGTGAGAACATGAATATTTATTAAAAAAGCTGCCTACAGCAAAGGGCCTTAACTGGTTTTAGTTGGTCTCTTTCTCTCTGGCTCACACGCTTTTGAGTAATTAGCCACCCTACTCCTTGTGGACATCCTCCATCCATTCCCAATGGCGGATAGTGGAGATTAACAGCCGAAATATGAATGTAGGTCGAAAGCCACTGTCCGTTATAACAGGTGAATGTCTGTCAAAGGTGGATTTCCCGGTGGCATACATATTTATTATATGTTAGTGTTGTATGGCATGCCAAAAATAAAAGTATTTTTCCCTTTTTTTCCATATTTTAGAATGCCAAGATCTCCCCGGTACCTTTCCAATAACAATCAGACTTAGTTATCTTCTTTCTCCACTGTTAATAGGCTTATATTGTAGATGGTAATGAGCCCATGGAACCCGAACTTGCACTGTCTCCCACTCAGAAACCGGTTCACATCGCACGTCCTGAAACATCCATAGCATGCACTGAGGACGTCATCTCTGGCTCAAAGGAATCACTCCAAATCCAAGCCTCTCCACCTCACAATAACCATTTCCCCCAACCTAGTAAATCAGCCTGCTCAGCTAGCTCATCAAGCTGCGGTTCTCAGGCTGTCTGGCCACCTCATCAGCACAATGTGGACCCCACTACCCAAGACCATGAACGAGCAGCAACAGTCCCTGCCCCCACCTCAACTGAAGACCATGACTGTGTTCCCTTGAGCCCAGTGTCAGTTTCTAGTGAGAGGGCAAGGCTCTCTGTGACTGAGGCCTCTTTCCTTGAAGATGATAACAATAACCATACAGTGGCTGAGAGCAAGGAGAGTGGGGACTCATTTTTCTCTTGCCCAGATAACCTGCCTGCCCCTCCTATCCGGGACCCCGAGCTGCCAGAAAATGGGGGTTTATTGCCAGGAAATATAGATTCTGGCAAAGATTTGACTGGAAACGATGACTGCATGGAGATAACTGATGAGGTCTTATCAGAGGAGCAGATGAAGATGACTAGCCCTAAGCGGATGAAGCTGGGGTTGGATGTGGGTCCTGAGAGGCAGGCATTCACAGAGACTGGCTGAGAGACAGGAATTTTGATGCTTTTCCAACTCTTTTGGAGTCTTTTTTTGGTGGCGGGGGGTTGTTTTGTACATTCTTGTATCTGACACGGTATCTGATGCAATTTTGGAGCAATGATTTGGAGGCTTATTCATGGTGCTCAAATTCGTCCGAGAAAGACGTTAGTTGTTGCTCGGGTTTGGCTAACCCTCTCTCTCTGTATCATATCAGTTTCATCTGGTTTGGCAGATTTATGGTTTACTTGACTGATCTTGTAAAAGTTTCTGACGCATTGTAGATTATCGCATGGGTTGATGACTAAAGGTTTTGAATAAAACTAAACATAAAATTTATTTGAAATTTTATGACCCAAAAATAGGAAAATCAGAGGCGCATGAATAGAAATTATGTTCTAGTATTTATAGAATGCTCTCTCTCCAATGTTTCTTTCTTTTAGATATATTCCTTGTATTCTCTTCGATTTTTGTGAATTGTTTCTCTTCCATTATCTTGTTTGTGTTTATCTTTTTAAAGCTCCTTTTACCTTACCCCAAGCTCCCTGTCTTTCAAGATCTCCTGTCCTACGTTCTCTCTAGCAACAGGTCAGTCTTATTGTAATGATGTGTCATGCATTTAATCGTAGCTTAATATATGCAGAATATTCGGGATTTTTATAGCCCTATTGAACTTAAACCAGAGATTTTCAAAATACCGAAATATCTTTGTTTTTCTTAAGTTTTTTGTTAGAGGTTTCATGTTTTAAATCTAGAGTCCAAAGAAATATGGTTTCCTAAATCTTTGAATTTTATTTGCAGATCTTTATCTTCAAAATGTAGTTTATGCTGGACTAGAACAACTAATTTATCTTGCAGAAAGTGTCCGAATAAACAAGAATTCCTTGCATAGGTAAGGTATTATAAATTCTATTTTTTAGTTTTAACTACTTAATTTGAAGTAAAAAGTAGGGAATATGACATTTTCTTATACTTGAAAAAATTTACCTATATTTATTTAAAAAATATTTTTAAAAAAATTTAAAATACGATTTATCCCAATATTTCTATATCTACTAATATATTAAAACATGCATCTTCTTTACAACTGGCCTTCCCGTCCTAGTATAAGGGCGTGTTTGATAACAGGTTAGAAGAGGAAGGAGTATAAGGGCGTGTTTGATAACAGGTTAGAGAAGAAGAAGAAGGAACGTTATCTATTGCTGTTCATGTGTTTGATAAAAAGTGGAAGATAATTTGAGAGATCTCGTTTACTGTTGAAGTTCTCAC